ATCGCCTGACAATTTCTGAGAAGGTGGTTAAGAAAATCCAAAAAACGCAAATAAATTGATAATTTTGATAATTGTTGTCCTTCTTTACTGCATTAAGGATCGATACTTCTTTCTTATCGAAATATAGTGGAATAATGTACTGATAGTTTTTGAAATATAAAAGAAACATATATTTTTTTAATTAAAAAGAAAACCTTTTTGATCAAAATAAATCCATGGGTTGCAAACAGCGGACCCTAATATTTATTTAACTTATCCTTTCGGATTATTTGAATATCCAAATAATAATGTATCCATTATTTGACACATACCTTTTCGAAAATAATTTTGTTGGATTATCAAAAAATATATATATATTTAGCTAAATTTAATTTTCAATTTCAATTACTTTTTTTGTTTTAAACAAACAAAAACATAAAATACTTTTAATTTTTAAAATTATTAATTAAATACTAGAATATTTGAAATAATAAAATTGGTTTGTGGAAAGTATATTATTGTAATTAATAATATTACTATTTCATGAATTTTTGTATTTATTTATATTTTTCTCTCAAATGAATTGTAGATTTTCTTATTTGTATTTAAAATATTTTTGTATTTTTAATACACAAATAATAACCAGTAACTACTGTTTCTTAATCAGTATTAATAAAAACTATGTAAATGGGGTGTTGACAGTTAATGTTAGGGGTGTGATCAGTTAATTTAAGGCAATTAATTAATGTTAGATATTTAATGTTAGAAGTTAATGTTAGACAGTTACTGTGGACAGTTAATGTTAGAAATTAATATTAGACAGTTAATCTTAGAGAGTTAGGGTGAGCAGTTAATGTTAGAAGTTATTATTAGAAAGTTAATGTTTGACAGTTAATGTGGACAGTTAATGTGCGATATGCTAATTGTAACACATGAGGTATTATACTGAGAAACCAAGTAAATCATAAATGTTGTAAGTGAACTAGTTCCATTTTTAAACATTATACTGTTTAGTTAAAATACATATTTAGGAGAAATTAACCAATACATAAAAATCGCTTTACCTAAAACATTGGCAATTAAACCAAATATACCAGAAATTTCTCTTTAGACTATTGTTTCAATTTTAATCAGAAATCTAATCTGAAAACTATATTTTCAATCCAAAATTTAATGTGTTGAATATACGAAATGGAAGGTATGTCTGAATCTCACTTTTTGAATTAGAATTCGTGTAAAAAACTTTAAAAAATCTAGTATTTAATCGAACCCAATAGTCAATAATTTCTTTTTCTTTATTCTTAAAGTTTTAAATACGAACAATTATGTTTTTTATTAACGTTAACATTTGTTTTATGCAAAAAATGCATTAAATGTACTAAATGATCAGTTTTCAACTATATTGTTAAGATTGATCTCATTTGTACGTCTAAGAAAGTCTTACAAAGTCAATAGATCTAGTGATCTTGGCGCCCATAGTTTTTTTAATAAGGCAGAGAATTTTGATTTCAAAATATGTTAAGAACTGCTGGTCTAGGTTTCAGATTCTTTACATTGCTGGGTTGATAATTTTAACACTTCAAAACCTGAGGAAAATTGAAGATGTAATTAATGTCTAGCTATGATAGAAACAATTGATGTTCATTATTTTCCTACATTTGTGTCGAACTTGATTTCAGTTCGTTCAATATTTAGTCCAGTATCATTTAGTATTTTATGAAATGTTTTGTAACAAAAATTAAGTTTTGTGAAATTGGAACGCCGTTGTTTCATAAAATTTTGAACAGAGGAACAGAATAATCTCAAAAATATTCACGGATGAATGATTACAGTGTATGGAGACGAAACTCCATCATATTTTAGTGAAATATTGGTCCAGACAAATTCGCTGGGGTCGTGAATACAGTGAAGAGATACGAGATGTGGAAGGTGTTCAGACGTAACTAACCCTTGTGTTTCAAAATTCTTGGAAAGTTAAAACAATTGTTCTTGAAGATCGTCTTTGAAAGCTATCTAAACCAATTGTCATGAGTAAAATTTTTTAACAAGATTGTGCCATATTGTTGATTTCAAAATAAAAACTGCTGAAACAGCAAATTTATCAACATCAATTGAAATCCTGGGTGTATCCAGAAGCAAATTTAGAGTGGATTCACAAAGATGCTCCGCCTCCAAATAATAAATGCAATATCAACTGGATGCAGTAATGCGTTAATAGAAATACGTGCAGGTATTGACCAAAAACTTCGTAATTTGTATCATAAAATATCCTCGCCTTCACGACAAAGTAGGAATTGTACAAAATTGCCAAAGTCCAGTCTATCCCTCGCGTCTGTAATTTCTTTGAGCTGGACCACCCACCATATAGAGTGGATTTCCGTCTGACTTCTGGTTATTCAGAAATTTGGAAAAAGCAACTCAAGGAACGTAATTTGATGCTTATTCTGAAAATCATTGAAAGAACGTTCTTTGGTTCATAGTTAGGGACAAAACTTTGCCAGTATCCCTTGAATTATTGGTTAATAACTGAAATTTTCTAGAATTAATAATGAGAATGATGATATATTATCCAGTGATTTTCTTTTCTTGAAGGTCAATGGATGTTCGAATACGCTGACTCATAACGCCATCTGTTTGCAGCTGCAGTAAGTTCTAACGGTTTGAAAAATGGTGCCTGAAACTATATTTCAAATTTATACCTTCCACTTGCCGATGTCGCATTTATTCAAAGAATAATTCTTGTAACCTAGAAAGTAGAAAAGCATGAATTTTCTGTGGCTCCTGTTAGATTAGTAGTGTTGGTGGTTCGATTAGATACAGTAAAACAGTCACAAATATTTGTAAATATAATTTATAGGTAGGTATAGAGAAATACACGACGAGTAGCATAAAAAATATATTATTGTTTGTTGAATATTTAATTATGTGAAATATTGCGAAATAGTTGTGATAAAGAGGGATTATTGAATTCTCGTTTGATAATATAGAATTTTAAAAAGTTATTTTCTAATTCAACAGTATGTTTTCAAAGAAAATGGAATTTGTAGTAGGTACTTTTTATACACTATCTACGAAAAGAACAAAATTTGACTATTTATGTTAATAATTTGTTAATAATCAGTAGTACTATTGGAAACCACATAATAAAATTCAAATAAATATTGTAATAAACTCTAAAATCTTTATTTTCAATCATGTTAATTGATAATGTGTAATTTGAGGCTTTTGATATTAATTTATTTTTAAATATAATACTTTTCAAAGAATGACAATTTTTTCAGTCCGGAAGTCTATAACATCCGCATTAAAGATCAAAGATCGTTAAAAAAACCTCTTTTTTTATTGGTTACTACTAACACAGCTTAGTTTATTCTTTAAGCTGTGATACTAATCTAAAACGGAAAATATATTTTTGAATAGTTACCTACAATCTGTCAAAAATTATATTATTTTAACCATATTTATATTTATCTTAGCAGAATTATGTTTACAGAAAATCGAAACTAATTACGAAAAAAGCAATTATAATAGAATGCAACATACAAAACGTTATGTAATTTTATTATTTATTGACTAATGTGTAATATATTGACAAATAGCATTGAAAAAATTGAAAATTTTTTAATTTTCTTATTTTCAATATTATGTACAGGGTCATCACTATACTTTATTGTCTTTGATCATATCGGAAAAGCGAAATATTGCATTTGCTCGTTGCTTGGCAACTAGTAATAATATCGTTGAGTGAGAAATAGTATAATATCTTTCATATATTTAGGCATATTCTTATATCCCTTAATATTAGAAATAGAGCTGTGAAACCTTTTAAGTCTGCAATTCTAAAAAACAGAATACGTAAAAATATAAAGAATTTTAATAAGAAAAAACAGAGTTGGTATCTATAAATATTTAGTGAACAAGTCACATTTTCTTTTTTCGATAACGAACTTACAGTGCAGTGCAATCTCACATTGTTCCATGATAATCATGTACAAGGAACAGCATAACAGGAACTAATGACCTTCAAAGAAACCCAATCATTATTAGAATATTGCTTAATTATGGAAATACCATTTTAACAACGTCTAGTAGCAGATAACTTTGGAAGTATCCATATGCATATAAGTTTCCATAATATTTTGTATGTTAAACACATGTTCAGTAAAATTCAACATTGAATCAGAATAAACAAATACCTATTACAAATCTTATTACAAATTTGAAATTAATGCATATGTTTTATTAGGTCTTGGTAATATTTTAGAAAAGAAAAACAGAACTGTGGTAATTATTTTGCTTTGCCCAATAATACATTAAATGTATAGGGGTAGGTTTAAACAATGTCAGTATATTTAGTTATGCACTTTAATATGCTCAATAGGCAACAAAGAGCAATAATATCAAGTTCATTTATTGATGAAAATCAAAATATATTTTTTTTAATTTGAGCGCCGACAGATATTTTACAAGTTGTGCAATTTATAAAGTAAGTCAAATGGTTGAGAGTGGGAAATTTGTCAGTAGGTATATATGCGTACACAAGTCTTAGTCCACTAGTCAATTAACTGTAAATCCTCAACCTCTTTGTTAACTTAAACTTTTAGTTATTGTAAGTATAGTCATTTTATTATCTACAGGTGTTGCCTTTTCTTAGCTATCATTATATTGTAATGTAAAATACATATAATAAGGAAGTAATCAGTAATTTAGTTTTTTACCTATAGTAAATGGATCCATTATGAACTAGAATTTTATTTTACATGCTTTGTTTTATATACAAATCTTTACTATTTTTATCATTTTGTTTTCCAGATATAATTAACACAAATCTAGGAAAAATAGTTTACTATTAACATTTTGTTTCCCAAATCTAATATAATAATAACGTCTTTATTGCAATTTCTAAGTGAAATTTACAAAAGGCGAAAGTCTAGCCCATTGGCAGTTATAAATAAAACAAGGCCAATACTCATAGTAAAAAATATGTTTTTTTTGAGGGCTTATCATTTTTTTTTTTACAGGAACCCAATCATCTGTCAACAGGTAACAAAATATGGCATTACCAGACTGGTCACCAAAATCACCTGAATGGTCTAAAGATGAGAAAAAACTCGTACTTGAAGATATTATATCCGAGCCAACAAAGCAGAGCTTAAAAGACATCATCTCTAATAGCGATGAATTTCCTATCAAATTTCCTATAGATACGGGAAGATGTAAAACATTAACAAGTTACTTAACTGAGTCCACTTTAGAAAGAAATATAAATTCCGTCTATCCTCTGATCCATGAAAACGCTCTAGAACTGTACTGCAAGTTTATTTTGTACAAAAGACATCATGGTAGTGCCGTTGAAAAATCTCTTTATAAAAAAATGACCCTAATGGAATTTATAAACAGATTGTTGAAGAAAAGAGCTGTGATGTTTATGGGAAAGGATGATAAATACTTGCTGTTATCTGGAGAAAAAGGATCTAAAGGTTGGGAAAATATTGGAACTGACAAAGAACAACCTCCCCTTCTCCTTCAAAACTGCATAAGCTATGACGAAATTAAACTTGCCGTATTTCTGTCTGTGAGTTCTTACACATATTTCGTCAACATAGGCGATAGAAAAAACATGGCAAAATACGCAACCGATCGGAAAGATATCGAAGATGAAGGTATTATAGTTGGGATGATTGGCCCAAGACTAAAAAAAGTTAATGTCATGGAATTTCAGGAAATGGTAGTGAATGAAAGACAAAATACAACCAAAAACGGTTATGGTACTAAGATTTCGTCTAGTGTTCATAAATTATTTTCAAATTTTTATGAGGAACCTTGCAGAGATTACTCAGAAGTGCTGAATTACAAGAAAACTCTGCCTAAAAATGAAGAAAGGTACGTGGAATTGAAAACCAAAAGCATTTTTGACAACCACTTGTACCATAAGAGACTTGCCATTTCCATAGACACTCTGTTAATGGAAGCAAATTATAGAGCTGCCGAAAAAGAAACCTCTGCTTATATATACGTGGTTGGCTTAGGATTAGGGGTTTGGAAAATTTCTGACCATCAAGAAAAAGTTTACATGGATGCATTTGCCAAACGAATTTCGTAAGTGTCTTTATTATTACTAGTATATAAAATATATATAAAAAAAACTGAAGAAATAGACCTTTACGCCAAAATGATCAGTCAATCAGTCAAGGTCAGTATTTTTTATGAAAATAAATTTGCCTAACCAAAAATCTCACACTAAGATATGTATGTCGTTGACCGAATATGTATGTCGTTGACGTCTTGAAAATCAATCGATATAATCTGTTCACTATAAAATAAATTAAACCTGTTAAAAATAATTTTAAAACGAAATGTCATTGCTGAGTATTGAAAACGAAAACAGACTGACTTTTGAAACGTTAACGGCTAATTGAAGAGCATAATATACAGAGTGGCCAAATGAAAACGAAACAGAGCCATATTCAGGAACTGCGTCAAGAGTGTAGAAAAACGCTCAGACCCGTCGATTTTAGATTAAAACATTCTTTGCTGGTATATTTGACTCTGCCACTTTCACCCCCAAGCAAGGGTAAGCATCACCCCAAAATATTTAAATGGCATTGGGGGTTGAGTAATATTTCTTTTGAAAGCTCTTACAATTCTCTTTACAACAGACTTTAAATTTTACAATTCCGCCCAAATACTTATTAAGAATTTTGATTTTAAAGTTGAAACTTATGTACAAACAATTAGTAACGGTAAAAATGTCATTCGAGTTAATACGCCAATGGTATAAATTTGGTATTTCTTGCGTTACATTGGTTTCTGGCGATTTGTTATCACTTTCGTAAAAAAACACAATTGTAAAAAATGAACGTAAAATTAGTGGATTCCAAAATATTTTCTAGTATTATTTGGTAGCGTTGGTTGGTAGTTTATTTAATTGTGTTTTTGAAAATTAAACACTACGGTTTATTCCATTGCGGAAAGGGTAGATATCATTTAATAATAATAGTGTCTTTATTACATAGAGTACATAGTGTGAACTTAATTATAACTAAGATGGCGAAGTTCACCCGATCGTGCTCTTCCACTTAACCATCATATAATATAAAAATATAGAACTAGTGACGTTTATCTCGTAAATAACGTTTATATTTATGCTTGAACTCTACAATAGTACGCGAATATTTGATATACTGAGGGATATGATTAAAAATATTAACTGCGATATAAGAAAATTAATGTTGAAATTTGTATGAACAATAAATGTGCGAATAGAACAGCTCAGCTATTTAATGAACAACATCAAGATCGACATGTCAGGAGGAAGTATGTTCTAGAGTTAGTAAAAAAAATTTCAAGAGATAGGGAACGTAGCCAATAAAAAACGAGAAATTGAAAAACCTATAGTTAATGAAGCTAGTGATGTTGTTGTTTTGGGACAAGTTCATCTTGATCCTACATTAAGTATGAGACAGCTGGCATCTGTGTCTGGGATCAATTGAACTAGCATACACACCATTTTGAAGAAGAATAAATTCCATCCATACAAAATACATTTAGTCCAGGAACTTCATGAGGATGATTATGAATGACCGCCATTTGCAATTTTGCGAAATAATGAGTGAGCGAGCAGGGAACGATCCCAAGTTCCTTTTAAACATCTGTTTTTCTGATGAATGCAGTTTTTTCTTGAACGGGACGGTAAATCGTCACAATTGCCGCTATTGGTCCGATTCAAACCCAAGAGTTTTTCACGAGGTGCATACACAGCAACCGGAAAAATTAAATGTATGGGCTGGAATTTTCGGTGACCTTTTTTTCTACCTGGTTATTTCACTGGCCAAATGCTGTTACTGGAATACGCTGTTGACCCTGTTTTGACTGATATTATTGAAAATGTTCCAGAGTATGATGAAGATCATTTGATTTTTCAACAGGACGGTGTTCCTCCGCATTATGCGTTAATTGTCCCTCAGTATTTGGACCAACGTTTTCTACGGAATTGGATTGAGAGAAGAGGCAGCATTGAGTGGCCTCCACGATCACCGGATTTATCGCCCCTTGTTTTCTTTTTGTGGGGGATACCTAAAAAGAAGAATCTATAAAACACGGCCTGCGTCGCTGGAAGATTTGCGTCAAAGAATCGTCGACGAATGCCGTTGAATCACTCCGGAAATGCTTCGGAATGTGCGCGAACGTTTCGAACAAAATCTTTATTCTTGTATGGAAGCAGGCGGTCATCAGTTTGAACATTTAATCAACTAAGTAGTAAGCAACTAAACATAATTTAAATTTTAAAATGTAAAGTATTGGGCGGAATTATAAAATTTAAGGTCTGTTGCAAAGAGAATTGTAAGAGCTTTCAAAAGAAATATAACTCAACCCCCAATGCCATTTAACTATTTTGGGGTGATGCTTACCCTTGCTTGATGGTGAAAGTGGCGGAGTCAAAATTAATAGTAAAGAATGTCCCCCTCTAATCTAAAATCGACGGGTCTGAGTGTTTTTCTACGATTTTGACGCAGGTCCTGAAAATGGCTCTATTTCGTTTTCATTTGGCCACTCTGTATAGTATTTTGTATTTTCTATGAGTGCGAGATTATTAGTTAGACAAAACTATTTTTATAAAAAGTAACCCTTAGCAGATCCTTTAGGCGCATGGGTTTATTTCATAATTTTTTTAGTTTTCTTTTTTTCATAGATTTCAAAATACCTGATAAATAAAGTAAAATCAGATACTATGCTATATTGTAAAAAATATTACATTAACAGATTATTATGTCTCTTGTTAACACGACTTATGCGGGGCAGGATGCGGCTTATTATTAATTTTTAAGCCTACATGAATTTTGGATAATGTGTTCTCCATTTTCTTGATTACAGTCTATTGGGGAAGAATTTATCATCAGTGAGCGATATTTGTTTCTCTTACATAAATCAAGAGACATGTGGAAGCTATAAGAACGGAGAAATTTTTCCTGTGAAGGATCATCCAAAATCTGGAATTAAAATTCATATTATTAAAGGAAAACCTCATGCCAAGTTGTTAAACGCAGATGCAGGTGGGTAAAATCCAATGAAATATTGTATACGGTGTATTTAACAGAGTCATATCGTCGATTTATTTTGATTGTAAAATTCAGTTGGATTAATTTGAGTCAAAGATTCTTGTGGGAGAGGTGGCGGTATATTATTATTTTTAATTATAAATAGTTAACTATGTGCAATAAATTTTAGGCAAACTTCTTGTTGTGTCGTACGCTTGGGATGGCAATGCTTTACCGGGCAATGAGTATTGGTCTGGAAAACTTGGAAGCAGTGGAGATTCTGCAGCTGCGTCGTCGACACAAATCACTGAAATCCACAATCCTCACATAAACCCGTTAGTTGAGGCCAATAATTTGAGAGTTATTACCAAAGATGGTGTTGTTACGTTCAAGAAGTATCAAGAACTCATTAGATGTGACCATCTTAAGAGGAAGAAGTAGTTTATATAATAACAGTTTTTATTTAGAGCATGAGTGCACTAGGCGATCTGGGCGCCTCCCCCGCCGTCAAGTCGCCTAGTGCACGCTTGCTCTTATATGTAAAAGTCGTTTTAAATTGACGTTATTGCGGGAAACAACTACTCTGCGGGCTGTCTGCCCCGACCAGCGCTAAGTTATATAGAGCCTTCATAAATGATTGCAAGGCTTGTGACCAGTAATTTTGTTTTGTTTCCTTCACGTTGGCAATAAAATTTCGGTAAAATATAAACAATCAGATCAGGATTACATTAAAACACAACGTTCTGTTTCATCAGCTGTGATTGGCGCAATTTTTCACGAGATTCTATTCAACCAATCTGCGATCGCATTATTTCAAGCGTAGACGTAACGGTTTGTCATTGTTCATTGCAAACGAATCACTAATATTGGTGCCGCCAAGATCTAGGGAATTTTCAAAACCAGTACCAATCATGCAATATTAGGTTGCCTATGCTTTGGCGGTCATATGGTTATAAACATTTATGAAGGCTCTGTACCTGCTATATCTAGAGGAAACAGTTAGCATTGTTAGTAAGTCTAATCTCCAGATATTGACCGATTTCACACTTACTGGTTCTTATCAGTATGCCGCACATGAGACAACCGACGAACGATTCACTCTTCGTGTACCTTTAAACGTATTATTTTCAAAAACATAAAATTAAGAAGAAACCTATAAATATAGTAAAACAATTATTATTTATATTTTAAATAGTAAAAAAAGAAATCTAATGTCAATTTGGCCTTTATAATAACAACATCGAACTTCAAAAAAAATTAATTAAACTATAAATATTTGTCAAACACATGAAGTATATATCTAAATATGCTTATAAAATAATTATTTTTTATATTTTAAATGTGTTTCCTATTTGAGCTGCTTAATTGTTTTATATGTGTATATTTTTTTGTAAAATTATACATTTTAAAAATAAGTAATAGTACCCAAATCATTTACTATTTAACTACTGCTACTTTTGATTTACGTTTAATTGTAAGTATTAAATTTATTTAACTTGTATTGTCAATATAATTAGATAAAATCGTAATTTACAAATAAAACAGAAATATTTTTTTAGATGTATTCTAAAAATATAAGGTTTGAACTAAAATAGAAATTAATAAAAATATATCCTCTTGAATTTCTATCTATTTATTAAACTCTTGATATGATTTTATAAAAATGTATTTATATGGCTAAATTCTGGGACAACACAATATTATACTTGTAGGTTTCCCGTGTTTAATGATGTGTCAAAAAATAGGAGCGTTTTTCATTGTCCAAATTTAAGTATATTTTTTTTTATATCAGTATTTAACAATGACCCCTGAATCTCCCGTTTTTAAAATGCAAAACGTTAAATCACTAAATATCTTCTGAACAAATGAATATTTGACTCAGAAGCAATAACTTTTATTTAATATCTTTTTTCGTAAACCTCTTGGTTTATAACATAATTTTCAAAAATTAAATCACTATTAGTTGAGCTAATATTAAACAAAAAGGAAGTACCAAATTGCGAACTAATTAGTGCTAGTATTTTTAATATTTAGGCTAGGAAAAAAATTTTAAATAGTGGAACGATATAGACTACTCGTACGAGTTATTTTAACTAATACTAAATAGGTACTGGACAAAAAGGTAAGTTATGGAAAAAATTAAACTAGACAAAATTGTTGCTTACGAGTTAGATACATGGATAAAATTTTAGTAGGTACTCATATTTTTTCGTCATGTCAGAATAGCAAACATTAATTTGAATTAATTTGAATTAATTATGTTGACAAATTAGTAATTTGTAATGATAATCTCTATTTTACATTACTTCTGATTTTAATCATGTATTCCGTTTCAATATCTTAATTTACTTAGAAATAAATTGGACATATTTGGATAGTTTTTGTTATACATTGTATCAAAATCGAAGTTATGGGTTAATCCTTACTATTATAACGAGGAGTAGATAATGTAGATAATGTATCTTATCTCTGGTATGTATTAATCTTACGGTAAAATTACCTACACATAACTTTATGAACTATGCAACACAATATACAACACACCAATGCAGAATACAATACATACATTTTAGGTCTGTTCCAACAAGAGTCAGGGATTGGTTCCCAACCGTTAGAAATGTTTGGCCAGCTAAATTCTAAATGTGTCTTCAGTGAATATATCGCAAGAATTAGTTGGATGCACATTTCTGACGGTTTGGAACCAATCCCTGACTCTTGTTGGAACAGACCTTTTTTACATAACATATTTTATATCACAAAATTCGTATCAAATTATTATAGTGTGTATTAACATTCGATTGTTGGAGATACGAATTTTTCAAAGAAACAAAGAACACAGAAAAATTAAAGATCAGCAAACTTTATAATATACTATATTCATAAAATGCACACTAAGAATTATTATGAATATTCAGAGTAGGTATCTGCCACAATCTAAAGGTAAAAAATGAATAATTTATGCGACAGTAAAAATGATTTACTTTATTTAATACATCACAAGTAATAAAATTTAATTTAATTTAATTTAAAATATTGTCAATATACGAGGATAAATGAAAAAATCATAAATATATAATAATCTGTAATAATTTATATTAATCTAACATCTATTTCAAAGCTATAACAGTTAAAAGATTTATATAAAAGTTGTAAAAATAGTTACTGGTCACTAATGGTTAGTTGCCATGTTTTATTTCAGATAGAATAACGGTTCACTTGCTTAGCGACCTTTTGTAATAAAATATCAACGCCTGCATTACAATGGTGATAAGATAAAGTTGTTGCTTAGCTAAGTCTTTTTGATGGAGATATTGTACCACACTTCTTTGTTTTCATTTCTGTAAGTCTCCAACACTGCTATAGGGATGCCCACGGCATATCCGGAGTCTATTATTTCCGTGATGTCATCCTTTATGTCATCTTGGCAATTTTCACAAATTATTATTTTACGGTTCTGGAATTGGTCACTAAATATGTCGATCTGGAAACAAAGAAATGTTCGAAAACTGTCATTAACATCATAAATTATAACAATAATTAATAACCAATACTTATTAAAACATTTTTACCTTTCTTGAAAAATATTACATTTAGGTATACCAATTCGAAGTCTTTAATTTTGGTAACGTTTACTTCTTTTGATACCATCTGATGGTTTTATTGGTTTTATATTTATTTTCAGCAATAGAAGAATAAAAATTGCTTACCTGAAAATAATACTGAATTGTGTCTTCAGATTTTCCAATATATTGAACTACCCAGTAGATGTAATTTTTAACAGTATTCGTGTGTACGTAAAAAATTTCCTTGTGGGCTGACATAAGCTGCAAAAATATTTTACCACTGTTATTAAAAATGGCTAATGAAAAAAAAAAAAAAAACAATAAATATGAACAGAGTGATCAGTTCGCTGTTTATTGGTATTTTTATATGCGTTTTTGATAATGTCATTTTTTTGTGTGATAGTACTTATTTTAGCTCTCAGATAGTTTTCATTTTTGGGTTAGAAGTTAAGGAGTTAAAGAAAATTTCTACTGTTTTGAAAATAATTCACAAAACTAACTTTCAATAAATACTAACCTGGATCATTTGAAGAAGATAAGTCGATTCGGACTAATGTCCTAGATAACTTAGCTTTTGAGATACTTGATGTTAAAGTAAAAAAAGACATTTACACAAAAATCTCTAAAGAAGTTTGGCATAGACTGACGAAATTTTAGGTAGTGATTTATCCTAAGTAAAAGTAGATAAAAATTCACTGAACTTGTATACAACTGACTTGTGTTTTCAACTTATGTCGACTAGTGGCGGAAATACTAGAACACACTTTCATTAATAATCCCAGAATTTGGAAGCCACTGAATATTTGGAAAAAAAAACAATAATATTTAATCATATAATAAACATACAGTAAAACTAGTACTAGTTTAATGAAAAAAATCTATAGGATTTTTTATGTTAAAAATATAACTTCAAATGTAGTGTAAACATCAAAAGTCCATAAAACATATTTGGAATATTATTCACCAAAATTTAAACATTTCTTCACTGACTTTTCGAATTTTTGATTATCATCATGTATTTAAAATTGCATATTGTATAGTACAAAAGATTTATGTGAAACTAGTACTTTTAGATGTATTATAAGTAAGTACTCGGTTCAAATTTTGGAGTCCGTTGTGCTAGTGTCTCCCAGTATCTGTCACTGGTTGACAAAATAAATTGAATGAACTTTTATTTTTACTTAATTAACTCACTAACCAAAGCTTCATCAGTTTACGTCAAATACCTTAAGAAATATTTACATAATATAATATTAATTTCAAATACAGTAAACCTTATACGACTTGAACAAATTCATCAGTCATTTAGTTGTGCAATGGCATCGTTACCAGAGTAGCACCGGAGCTCATTATCTGTCTGAATCTTTTGCTCTACCATTAAAGTCATTTGTCTTTGTCAGTGTGTATCTCGCAGACAAGATAAGTTTGATCAAGCTGTAGGTTAATGTGAATTTTTTTCCTTAAAGTGTTATGTACATAAGATACACCCTGTATATGTTTAACAAAATAGTTAAACCATATTTTCACGTCTGACTCAATCTAAAATCCAAAATCTCTTTTTAATTTACTTACATAAATAGTGCTGCCCAAGTTTTTCCACCGAGACCAATTCTCTGGACCAATAATGACGGCCTCTCTGTGAGAATTGAGAAAGTGATCTTCTATGCCTGTTCTTCTGCCTCTCCAAGAGCAACCACTCACTTTACACTTGTAAATGCGAAAACTAGAAACAGTGAAGTACAGGGTGTCCATAAGTAATGGTATATTTAGCAAATGTTGTAATGGTATAATAGCGAATTCTACACACCAAATTTTACGATTTCACCAAACTTACGTCCAAAAGTTGATACTTAAGAAAAGTTTGTTTTCATTAATTTTAAATGACCTTTCCAAAATTATGTACGTACATTGTACACGTTTTGGGCATCGGAGGTTCTTTGAGAAGACGAATTCAAATCCGATCATAATTTTGCTGTTACTTATTAGAGGGAACTACTTGTGGCACTTCGCATGTCTTTAAAATGTCATAACTTGGTTGTTTCTCGACATCCAATAGTTGTTACAGAAAATGGATCGCTTTTTTTTATTAATTATAAACTATTTATTTGTTGTTATATATTTCGTTGTATTTTATTGTTTTATATGTATTTAAAAGTATGTTTTTTTACTTTGGCACCCGGTTTCTTTTTAAGTACCTACCAACAACCTTTGGACTAAGGCAAGTTTGATAAAATCCTAATATTTTGGTACGTAGAACATGACGGTAAGTTCGACGCACAGTGATTAAAATTGAAAATTTGGTATCAAAATTTGCTCGACAGCATGGAGAGCGGTCAAACCATTTGATTTTTCAAATAATCCTTAAATATTGTACTTTTGCAGTTCACTGCAGAAAATAAGTACAGTACAAATATAAATATAATAGAAGGCCGAGAAAGTAAACAGTAATATTTATTACATTCAATTATCTGGATACTATGTATGTATATAGTAGGTACTTTATATAAAACTACTCAATCGCAAACCGCATTCTCTTAAATCCACGAATCCGACAACTTATAAACACCGAAACCCATAAACTCCAAAATCTGAAGATTAAATGATAATTAACCCCGAAATCCATAAATAATGAGGCCAAACAAGTAAAATAAACCCCAAAACCCATAAGCCCTAAAACCCTATAAACCCTAAAACACATAAACCTCAGGACCTAATCCTAATCCCTAACATCCATAAACGAGAAAATAAATAAACTCAAAACCCTAAAACACGTAAAAACCAAAACCTATAAACCCTAAAATGGATAAATTATATTTACGAGTATACGGTTTGCTGTTCAATAGTTTTATATAAAGTACTATACAGTGTGTCCAACATAAGAATGGGATAGCCTTAGGATCTAGGAAACGGTAAGAGATACAGGGTGTCTCAAATTAGAAAAAAGTTGTTTTTTTATACCCAACAATATGCCGTTTAGAAAGTTTTAAACTTCCGGGTAGTTCCGGAGATATCCGGAAAAACCTGAAATTTTGCAAAACCCTTAATTTTTTTCTGGCTTTATTTGAAAACGAATTTTAAATAAATTGCATATTTACATTGCCACTTTTTTCGCTCTATCAAATGGCATCAACATTTTTCAATCCGACGTTTCGTCTTCGAGGGGCCATCATCAGGTTATTTTTTTTTAATACGTCGCTACTATTTTTATGACAAAATCTAAAATCATTTTTAATTCTGAATTAGATAATATTACTATTGTAATCGCTTAAAAAGGTGTTTTAGCTTGTTTTAGCTATCATTTAAAATTTTTCCTGAGTACCTACAGCTCTGAACGCTTTCAAAATATCTATTGGAGGAAGTCATAACAGTATAAAAGTCAGTACAGCACTAAATATCCAACAATTTTTTTTAATACTATTTGCAATACTAATTAGAAATACATAATAAAACATTTTATAAATTCGTATTATTTTTTTATTAGGTACAACAAATTTGAAAACTTTATAAACGGCATATTGTTAGGTATAAAAAAACATAACTTTTTTCTAATTTGGGTCACCCCGTATCTCTTACCGTTTCCTAGATTCTAATGCTATCTTATCCTTATCTTGGACATACTGTATACATGTACTATATAGGTACATAGTATCCAGATAATTGTATGTAATAAATAGGTATTATAAGAGTAATACCTATTTATTACATCCAATTATCTGGATAAAGTAAAGATACTTTCTCAGACTTCTATTATATTTATATTTATCCCGTGCTTATTTTCTGCAATGAACTGCAAAAGTACAATGTTTACGCAATATTAAAAAAAATCAAGTGAATTGGCCTCTTTCTATGCTGTCGAGTTAATTTTGACGCGAAATTTTCAATTTTAATCACTGTGCGGTGGGGGAGGGAGCGGGGAAAATATTCATAATAAGAACATTTTATATTAAATAGATTGACCTTTTGAAAAAGGAAATGTTAAATTTGTAAAGTGCGAAAAACACTGTAGCTCACCCTCAAATTTTTTTGAGACAGGAAATCTAATGATCCAAAAAGTTCAAAGTACAATTTTGTTACTGTCACTTTCCCAATTTCAATATTTTTTTGTTAGTGACTTCTTCAAATTTTCGCATTTTGAATGTCTTTCCGACTCTTACATCGGCCATATTAGTACCGCCATCTTTTATTCAGGATTTTAGATTTGTATTCAGCGACACCAAAAACCCGCGGTAACAAAATTCAGGCAAAAATATTGAGTAGAAAAATATGGGACTGGTTTGTCGGTGGTTTCTAATCCTTTAACATGTTGACTATGAACCTACATTTGGTACTATAAAACACAAGGCTATGGTTGTTTCCATTGTTTTACACTTACATTCGTTAGTTCATCTGAGGGGTGAAATTAACCCCCTCGTAAGAGTATTTTAGATTATGTTTTTTTAGCGTTTTACTAAAAAATAACCTGGTAAATCGGTTATTGAGCTGCGGATTGGGATTTAGCAAAAAAAATACGCAACATCTGTCTATTCATGTCTCTGATACATCATTTTTTGTGGGGCCGTGCAATTTAGTTAAGTATGGTAAACTTTTGTTAAAAAATATTGTTATATAAATTTCAACACCATGTAAGACTTTTAAATTATCAGTGATAGTATACGAGATTATAAGATAAATCTGCAATATTTTTAATGATTTTTCGCTGTTTTCTCGCACTTGCTATGAAGGTCATGCGTGCAAGAATACTGCGTAATACTCTATTGTAATTTGTCACTTATTATAAAGTAATTACTTACCTACAAACTGTTAAGTGGTCGTCCATTTCGTTTAATCTCAGGTTTTCTTTACAACCATAATCGGAATTGTGACAGGGATAATATAGTAACTCCGACATAGCTTCCAAAGAGAAATTCCTGGTTCCTGACAGATCCTCATTGCAAGTCGGACAAATATCAAGTTTATTCCAACAGTTTTTGCAGATGCTGTGACCTAAAGAATATGTTTGTAAGAAAATTTTACATATTGATAAAAACCCGAATATGTAAAATTATATGCATGCAGCATTAAAGAAATTCATTTAAGTCAGTTTTACATACATATTTATACCGGGTGCCTCACAGTGAGTGCCCTATTAGATTATTTCAAAACCTACTTCGTGTTCTTTTCAAATATAATAATTTTGTTCCTGTAACACTTCTGGTTATACCGGAAGTTGACGTCAACTTTGTTATTTTAAATGGGTCGCCCTATATATTATTGCATTTTCGAATTCTACGTGAAATTTGAGGGTCTCTTTATTAAATATTCCCTATACCTAGGAGTTATAGAATTTGAGATATTAATTGTTAAAGAAAAAATTTGACAGATGAAAGGGTCCACGGAGATGCTAATAACTCTTTTCAGGAGCGTGGATTATCAAGTGGATTTTTGATACCTGTAAAAGGCATAGGTAACACTAAATTATGGTATACCAACAAATTGAAACATTTAATAATAGCTGTTTCATTTTTGTTGTTACATTTTGATAACTTCAAACAGCTATAACTTTATTAACTTAAATGGAACACCCCATATTTTTTACACTGTCGAATGTAGATTGAAATTTCCTTTTAAGCCATATAAGCATTGTTAGGGTTGTCGTTATTACTTCTAGAGATATTTGCAATTTTCTATTTTTTGGACAGTTTTTCTCGTATCAGACATGTTGTCGAATTGGCCATGATCAGAGATACTCTAAAAACAATTGAAATAACTTAACATTTGTCAAGTTAGTTGTCAAATTATTGTTGTGTCTGAATAGTTTTTTTAATTTGAAAATGTAAATAAAAATGCCTGGAGATCGTTTAAGGGCCCCATATTCTTTAAATAGTGTTTTCCGCAAAGACAAATAATTTCAAACATTTAATAACTGAATAATCTAAAGCTTATCAAATAATAGGAATGTTATGTCATGCCACCTGAGTATTTTCAAAGACGCCGCAGTAAAACNAAAAACCCGAATATGTAAAATTATATGCATGCAGCATTAAAGAAATTCATTTAAGTCAGTTTTACATACATATTTATACCGGGTGCCTCACAGTGAGTGCCCTATTAGATTATTTCAAAACCTACTTCGTGTTCTTTTCAAATATAATAATTTTGTTCCTATAACACTTCTGGTTATACCGGAAATTGACGCCAACTTTGTTATTTTAAATGGGTCACCCTATATATTATTGCATTTTCGAATTCTACGTGAAATTTGAGGGTCACTTTATTAAATATTCCCTATACCTCGGAGTTATAGAATCTGAGATATTAATTGTTAAAGAAAAATTTGACAGATGAAAGGATCCACGGAGATGCTAGTAACTCTTTTCAGGAGCGTGGATTATCAAGTGGATTTTTGATACCTGTAAAAGGCATAGGTAACACTAAATTATGGTGTACCAACAAATTGAAACATTTAATAATAGGTGTTTCATTTTTGCTGTTATATTTTGATAACTTCAAGCACCTATAACTTTATTAACTTAAATGGAACACCCCGTATTTTTTACACTGTCGAATGTAGATTGAAATTTCCTTTCAAGTCATATAAGCATTGTTAGGGTTGTCGTTATTACTTTTAGAGATATTTGCAATTTTCTATTTTTTGGACAGTTTTTCTCGTATCAGACCTGTTGTCGAATTGGCCATGGTCAGAGATACTCTAAAAACAATTGAAATAACTTGACATTTGTCAAGTTAGTTGTCAAATTATTGTTGTGTCTGAATAGTTTTTTTCATTTGAAACTGTAAATAAAAATGCCTGGGGATCGTTTAAATTATACTAATAAGGATTATTTTAATGTGTTTGTTATTTATGAACAATGTGCAAAGCAGCATATTCTCTACATGATTGTTCTTGTCAAATTATTTCAATTGTTTTTGGTGTATCTCTGATCATGGCCAATTTGACAACAGGTCTGATAAGAGAAAAAAGGCAAGTTCGGTATTGATATCTAGATGCTCTAGATATATATCTTTGTCTTATTATCTCTTACAATTAGAAAAGAACAAAACACGTTTGGAGCGTCTAGATGTTAATACCGAACTTGCCTAAACTGTCCAAAAAATAGAAAATTGCAAATATATCTAAAAGTAGTAACGACAACCTTAACAATGCTTATATGACTTGAAAGGAAATTTCAATCTGCATACGACAAAGTAAAGAAATAATATATATGTGTTCCATTTAAGTTAACAAAATTATAACTGCTAATAGGACACTCACTGTGAGTTACCCGGTATATATATTAATATTGCATTAATAGAGATTTAATTTGTTCAAATTTTTGTGAAAAAATGTATAGATATGCNTTTTTAGTTATTATTTTATTTGAGTAAATTTAAATGGTAACAATGAATAAACAAAACATCAAGGATTTTATTTTTGTGCTTACTTTTGTTCTACACGTTTTACTTTTAAAGATTTCAGTACCTAAAACGCCAGAAATTTTACTATTTCTCGGGCAGGAATATGGCCACCTTAAATTATACTAATAAGAATAAGGATTATTTTAATTTGTTTGTTATTTATGAACAATGTGCAAAGCAGCATATTCTCTACATGATTGTTCTTGTCAAATTATTTCAATTGTTTTTGGTGTATCTCTGGTCATGGCCAATTTGACAACAGGTCTGATACGAGAAAAAAGGCAAGTTCGGTATTGACATCTAGATGCTCTAGATATATATCTTTGTCTTATTATCTCTTACAATTAGAAAAGAACAAAACACGTTTGGAGCGTCTAGATGTTAATATCGAACTTGCCTAAACTGTCCAAAAAATAGAAAATTGCAAATATATCTAAAAGTAGTAACGACAACCTTAACAATGCTTATATGGCTTGAAAGGAAATTTCAATCTGCATACGACAAAGTAAAGAAATAATATGTATGTGTTCCATTTAAGTTAACAAAATTATAACTGCTAATAAGACACTCACTGTGAGTCACCCGGTATATATATTAATATTGCATTAATAGAGATTTAATTTGTAAAAATTTTTGTGAAGGCGGTCACAAAAAATGTATAGAGATATGCAGAAATTAATTAAATATTTTTAAAAGAACTTTTGCGGAAATAATGCCTTAAACTTGTAACTTTAACACAATATGCAACTTGGTTTATTTCTGATGTATCTGTTTATGATCAATAATGTGTTATTTAAAAGTAAGGATTTTATTAAACACTCACCTACTACGCATATGTAAATTGGAGATTGCATATACTCAAGGCATGCAGGACATTCTAGGGATAATAACATATTTTCATTTAAACTCTTCATTTTTTATTTTAAAAACTAAATACAGATCAAATACGGGACTCTACAATAGACATCAGATATGAACTGAAATTATTTTACTGCCTTGTGCCAAACTTCTTTTTAAAGTTTTTGTGAACATATATTTCCATAGTTTTTTTCCTCAGAAATATTGGGACGATAAAATATGAATTTGATTTAAAAACTAACAATAAACACGTTTTTGGCTCTTCAAATGTTTTTTTTTTTATTAATTCGTTATTAGAATGTTTTTATATGTTTAAAAATGCGATGAAATATATGAAAGAAGTAAATAGGTACCTATATGCAGGAATCTTCTCTACAAATAAAGTTTCTGTGCCTGTGTATAAAAATATGATATTTGAAATTAAAGCAATTTGATATTATGGAAATGGTCGATTTTGTTTATCTAAATTATTAAGTGCTGTAAATATTTTGTGAAGGTGAAAAGGATTAATAGTTTTAACTTAATGTTTTGGAGACACTCTGAAAATCGTTTAAAATATACAAATTTTATATTATAAATGGAGCAAGTCTTGAACATAAAAAGATATTTTGTTTTATACAGAGTGTGGCGTGTATAATCTATAAAAATTAAACTACACCTTCCTGATGATATTTGTAATAGAAAAGTCTTATACGAAAAAGTTCTATCTTTTTTTTTTTTTTTTGTTAATTTTAGTTTATTTATCGAAAGTGAATGCCGGCCGTGTGTTTTTTATTTATTTTTTTTTTTGTGTTTTTTTTTATGCCGCGCTGGATGCTTCTTTTTTATTTCAGTCTGTTTTATTTCTTGTTATTCTTACTGAAGGTTGGTTTTGTTACATTGTCAAAAAATTTGTGCAATCAACTGATTTTGTATTTATATTGAATTCATTATTCACTTAATTATTAAATATTAAGTATAGTCCATCGACCCATCAGTGTTAAAAAGTGAAAAGATTCCAGACAAAAGTTTTACGATAGTGACAGTGTAATTTTTATAAAGTAGTAAAAAATAAGAATAGCGTGCCGATTAAATTAAAAAAGAGATTCTTATTTCTTTCTTTGCTTAATTTTTTAGTTTGTGCACAAACTAGTTTTACAATGAACCGAGAAAACAATACATTTACTATGTATTTCGCGGTTAGGGAAACTCATTTTCAACCCTATATATTTGAAGAACGACTAAATGGACCAACATAATATGCTGAATTTTTGACAAGAGACATAATAACATAAATAAGTTTAAAACAACTCCACATGCACACTGCAATTGATTTTTTATAAGATAAATAAATTTATATCTTGATCATTTTGTTTGCATATGACTAAAAATTATCTACCATTCATAGATTTTTATATTGTATGCTTCTTATTACCTTTTGTTAATGTACCGTTGAAAAAAATTGTAATTCTTCTAATATGCCAATAAAGCCATTTCGAAACTGATTGTTGAATATCATAACAGATTGATGAGAAACACATTATATTGCTGAAATATTGAAATTTCTTTAAAAACAAACTCCTAAATTAATTTTCTTGTTTACTATTGCACGTTTCCAATTATTTCTTAGTTCTTAGCATTTATCACTTTAATATTTCAGCGAGTAGGTACCTCTTAGTCACATCTACCAAACTGAAATAACTTCTTGAAGGTCGTGGTCTACTTAACTCATTT